TGTGGAAAATGGACCATGGGGGCTCAACTCTGACACTAGGGGTCCCTGCTACATTGGCCACCCAACCAGCCCAAAGGACCTTGGGCCCTGCGAGGGGTGGACAGTAGCTGGCCAGCCACAAAGATCCCAGTGCTGACAGAGCTGCTGGCCACTCTGCTACCTCATTCTGGCAACTACCAGAATGAGGGAATGGAGAGGAGAGGACCCCTTCCCAGCTCCATCACCAAATCAGCAAAAGCCCTGAAGCCCCTACCTTCCTGCCTGTGTGAGCCACTGAGAGCAGCCCCTGGTTACGCTTTGAGTTGCCCCATACATATTTTATGCATCCTTCTGGCCATCTCGAAAGGGGCCCTGCTCTCTGCCAAGTCTTGCGCTGGACATGGAGACATAGCACAGAGCAAGGTCACTGCCTCCAAGGAGCTCAGACTCCACAGGGGTACCAGCCACATCAACAGATGGTTCCACCGCAGCAGGACCCTTGTTGGGACAAGGGCGAACACAGGGGCTCAGGGGCTCTGCACCCAGCCTGGGGGGCTCAGGGAAGTATCTGCACTGGGGCACGCTGACTCACCCCATGCCTGAGCTGGAGGAAGCTGCAGAGTACCAGCTTCACACCCTTTCCCCGACCCATGTTACAGGTGGGGAAACCGAGGCCCAGGGAGAGAACAGGTGGGCTCAGGGTCACGTCGAAAGTTCACAGCCTAGGCTCTTCCTACTCAAAGTCAGCCTCTATTAAGGAAGAGGGAATAGGGGGCGCTAGACTGAAGGCTCCTTGATGGCGGGGACGAGGCATGTCACTGGCCATGGCAGCCCCCTCCCCTGCTGCTTGTGCTTGGTAATTTCTGCTGAATGAGTGAGGGACGGAGGGGAGATCACACCCAATCATGGGAGCCAAAGCCCTCCTCCCTCATCAGGGCAGAGACGGCAGAGGCCTTGCTACTGGGAATCACAGGAGGATGCCTCTTCTCCCTGCATCTGACCTGCCTGGGTCCCACTGATGGCAGACAGGAGCACCACTGCTTCCCCCAGGTCCTCTTTGGAAGCCTCTGGAGCCAGTTCCTCACCTGAGCCCATGACGGCACCCTCCCACACTCCTCCCATAGTAAGGAGATCAGGTGGTGATCATTAATACTTGTTTAATGATCATATAATCTTTAGGCATAAGACTCTCTCGTTTCAATTACCCTGTTTGTAGAAGGGGAAACAGGATCAGAAAGGCTAACTCAGATCTGCGATCTCCCACTCGAAAGTGGTGGAGCCAAGACTCAAATCCCACAGGATTCCTGCGTTGATGTGCTCAATCCTCCAAATACCATCTCCCCAGCTGGCACGGCCCCTCTGCTGGCCTACCCTGGGTTATTCTAGGCACTGCCAGTCCTGGAGGCTGGTCTACTGCAAAATGTTTTTTTTTTTAAATCATTTTTTTCTTCAAACAAAGAAACCTTTTTTCAAATAAAATCAGGCAGGAATATCCAATCATAAGGTTTCACAAACTTTAAAAGCAGAGTTGCTCTGGAAACCCCCCATGCTGGAGTCTCTACAACTCCCTGCATGTGTGCTCAGCCAGGCTCTCCTTCTGAGGAGTTGGTGTCTCCCCTCTCTTCCCATCCCAGGCTTAGGGACATCCACCTCGAGGGCAGGTGGACGGGGGCCTTCTCCTCCCCACTTGGCAGATAAAGAAACTAAGCCCAGGCAGGGAGGCTGTTCCCCAGCTCTGCAGGATGCTCAGGGGCAGAGCTGCAACTGGGACTCAGTGTCCTGCTTCCTGTTCTGCGACATGGCAACTGCCTGCAGGACAGAAGTGACCAGCACCAAGGGCAAGTAGAGGGGAAGCTGATATTACCCCAGGTAGGCAGGGTGCCCCTCCCACACAGCCTCCCACCTGCCAGGTATCCAACTATCTAAGCCTCCAGCCTTCTGGCCAGCTGTGCTCTCCCTCCAGAACCCAAGGCAAGGCAAAGAAAATCCCTTATTCCTGGAGCAGCCTGCTCTTAAAGCCCCTAAGGCTTTCCCAGTACCGAAAAGCTTTAGGGGACCAGAGGGAGACCCTCTTGCAGAAGACCAAGGTCTGGAAGCCCCACTGGCATCTAAGCAGATTTCACCAAAGGACCACCCACTACTGTGGAGCAGGCCAGAGCCCCTGGGCAGGGCACCCAGACCCTCAGACCCACCCACAGAGCCAGCATCTCAGGATTCTGGCCTTTACAGAGGCAAATCTGAGGTTCTCAGTGTCCACGGGGATTCCAGATTCCAGGTGTTTACAGGGATATATCAGTGGTGTCTGCTGAGACTCTGAGACTACGTGTTATAAAATTATATGATTCTGACAAAGCATGTAGTACATCTCAGACTGCATCATTCTCAGCGGGAGCAGGTTCCTGAACTGTCCTGGGCCGCCTGGCCACCCCTCCCTACGAGACAAGGCAGGCCCCTAATGCAGATCGGCAGAGCAGCCCCACCCTCCTGCCCTGGCCTGGACACATAAATCACCCTCCCAATAATATTTGTATTGATTATCTAGATTGGAAGCCTCAATTGGCTCCATTGTCTCACTTCCTCTCCCCGGGCTCACAGATGGGGTCCCTTGGCCTCATCTGCGTTTCTAATGTGGCATTTAAATGGAGCAGCAGCAGCCAGCAAAGCCCTGCCCTGCCCTGGGTGTCGTGGGTCGGAGGAGTATAGAAACATATTCCTTGAGAGAGGACCATAAAATCTTAGAAAGTGTGTCGCTGGCAGAGAAGCCAGGAAGACCTAGTCCCTGGGTACTCAAAGCGCTGTCCACTGGCCCCGCCCAGGCACTCGTCAGACATGCAACAGATCAGGCCCCGCCCCCAAGACCCACTGAACCAACATGGGCATTTGGACAGGATCCTTCCATGGTCACATACACATTACACTTAAGAAGCATGGCTGGACATGATGGCTCACACCTGTAATACCAGCACTTAGGGAGGCAGAGGCGGGTGGATCACCTGAGATCAAGAATTCGAGACCAGCCTGACCAACATGGCAAAACCCCGTCGTCTCTACTAAAAATAAAAAATTAGCGGGGCATGGTGGTAGGTATAGTCCCAGCTTCTCCAGAGGCTGAGGCAGGAGAATCACTTGAACCTGGGAGGCGGAAGTTGCAGTGAGCTGAGATCACACCGCTGCACTCCAGCCTGGGTGACAGAGTAAGACTCTGTCTCAAAAAGAAAAAAAGCACGGCTTTAGCCCAACCATTGTGTTGTGCAGAGGAGCAACCAAGGCCCAGAGAAGGCAAAAGGCTTGTCTGAGGTCACACAGCAGGAAAGATTCCCTGAGTTCCCAGTTCAGGCAGAGGGAATTCGAGGGCAAGTGGCTTCTGGGGTGAGGGGCCGGCCATTTCCGGGCTCCCCTCCCTCTGGAGCTCCCGCCTCAGGTCTCAGGGCGTGGACAGATGGTTCAGACCAGAGTCTGACCCCCCTGTACTCTCACAGCCTGGAGGGGCCAATGAGAACTCCGGGGACTCCCCAGAAGGGCACCTCCTCCCGCCCCGGCCAGCCAGCTGCCCCTTCTGGCAGCAACTGGACAGCAGATCCCAGGGAAAACCACCACCTGGGTCTGCCCAGCACAGCCAGGCGCCTGTGGAGGGGGGCACGAGGGATGGGAGGTCCCAAAGAGGCGGCCAGCAGAGGGCCTGGGAGAGGTGGGGAGGAGGGAAGCTATGGTCCGAAGGACGGAGACAGAGCTGGTGGGGAGGGGCCAGGGGGGTGGACAGAAACAAAACGGGAAGGGGGAAGAGCCGGGAAAGGAAGAAGGGGAAAGAGAGCGGGAGGGGAGCAGAGGCGGTAAAGAGCGATGGCGGGATGAAGGAGGGAGGCAGCTGGCCCGGAGGTGCACAAGCGCAGCGTGGCCCAGCCCTGCCCGGCTTGGCCGGGCGGCCCAGCCCCCAGTGACGGTGCAGCTGCCACTCTTGGGCCCTACCATGAGGTCAGTCCTGCCCCGGGGCTGAGGGAAAATAAATGGTGTCCAAGATAAAAGGTCCAAGAAATTATTTGTCTTGTTGTCACGTCCTGACTGCAACGGGCAGGGCTGGCGGGCAGGCGGGGCATCGTCCCAGAAACGCCCAGGCTGGCAGGTTTGGCCCCACACAGAGGACCACGGCCCCAGCTCCCCAGGCTCAAGGCTGGGGCCTGGACCACCTCCCAGAATCTGGGCCTGAGAAGGCAGGAACGGGCGGGGGGGCAGGTGCTTTCCCGGTGAGGGGCAAGGACCAGGAGGCCTCGAAGCAGTCTCCGCTTTTCCTGCCTGGCAATTTTAAATAAATAATCTACGTGGTATTTGCTCAGCGTCTGTCTAGGCCAGATGCCCTCCAAGCCCTGGGAAGGTGGAGTGCTGCCTGTTTCTCTCACTGCTGAGCACCTTTGTGGGCCAGGGGCTCGGAATGTCTCACTCCTACCAGCCATTGCAGAGGCAGCATAGGCAGGAAAGTGGGGAGAGTTCCCAAGTACTCCAGGAGGGATGGGCAGTTCCAGGGTCAAGGGCAGGTCAACAGGATCAGGGCCCAAGGTGTTATGAGTGCCACATATCACAAGCGCACAGGCTGAAGCTCAAAGAGCCCATATGCACACACACACACATAATACACGCACTAGGCCGATTTCCACCACCACCGGCTTCCAGAAAGCATCACCCAGAGGCTCCTGCCCCTTGAAGTGGCTGAACCTAGGGCTGTTCCTATGGGAACAGCCACCTGCTTTAGGCCAACCCAGGCAAGTCACCAATACCACAGCAGATGCCACTTATGGGGCATTTACCAGCCAAAGAACTTTTCATTCACATCTTCAGTTAGTACTCCCAACAGTGCTCTCAAGGATTCACCATTACATCCCCATTTTACAGATCAGGAAACTGAGACCCAGAAGGAATCAGTGTCAGGTCCAAGATCAGCCAGGACCAGCAGAGCGGCATTTGAACTTGAGGTCTCTGAGGCCGGGAAGAGCATGTACACAGGGTAGGAGGAGAGGGTTGGCACATACCATACTTGTCCCCATCCTCGCCACGGGCACTGATCCTGCGGCCCAGGACCTGGATGTGTTTCCCACTGGTCCGGCTGTAGAGCTGGTACAGCCGAAGCTGCTTACGGCTCACATCGTCCCGAGCCCGCGTCTGGTTCTCCACGTGGATGCGGAAGTCCACGTTGTCCTCAGCAACCAGCACCTGGGCAGGGAAAAGGACACAGTGAGTCACCCTGGATGTCCCGGGCCTGCTGCATGCAGGAGCCAGCCATGGCCACCACAAAGACCAAGGGCTTCTCTACACCGGCTCTGAGCCAGGCCTTGGCACACACTGATAACCAGCCCATCACTACTCCCATTCAAAAATGAGGCACCGGGGCTCTGAGAGGTGAGGCAAGCTGCCCACGGTGGCCCAGCCAGAAAGTGGCAAAGCTAAGAATCAGGCCTAGGTCGATGTGACAACAAAGCTTCTCTTTCCACCGCAGCCACACAGTAAAGCAAGAATGATTCTCAGTAAAATGGAGGGGCAGAGTCCCCACCCTGATTCCATCCCAGGGTGGCTGCGAGGCTACGTGAGTAAAAGGGAAGAAAAGTACTAAATCCTTATGGACATGGGTGAGGAATGAGAGGGGATGGAGCACTGGGTCCATGGGGAAGGAGGGAGGCCTGGAGAGCCTCGTCCAGGGAGCCAGCGTGGCAGAGTCCGCTGTGACTTTACCCCCTGAAGCTGATGCGGGGGTCTCCTCCTCACCCCACGAGGGTCCTCATGCTCACTCCCACTCCAAACATCTGCCCACATCCTGAGTTAGGAGGAGCCTTTGCTTTGCATCTGCCACCAAAATTCTATCTCCCTCGAGGCTTAGCTTGTGCCTGTCCACATCTTCCAGGAAGCCTTCTCTGGTGACATCAACACATATTGCTCCCATCTTCCTTCCCCTCTCATTGGGACAATTTGCATCTGCCTCCTCATTGGCCTTCTGCCTCCACTCTCGCCCGCTGGTAGTCTCTCTTCCACCAAACCTCATCCCTTCTCCACACTCTCCCGGACTTCCCATCACACTTCGGTGAAGGACTCCTCCAAGGCCTCAGGGCCCTGCAAGGCAAGCCTCTGGCTGCTTTTCACCTTCCTCCCCCACCACGACCCCCTACCAGCCATGGTAGCCACTGGCCACCTTGGCATGGCTCTGGGTGTTCCAAAATCAAAACACACTCCTGCCCCAGGGCCTTTGCACTTGTTCTTCCTTCTGCTTTGATGCTCTTCCCCAGATCCTTGCATTCTAAGCCCTTGAGCTCACTCAGGTCTCTGCTCAAATGTTACCTCCTCATGCAGGCCTTCCTGGACCCCTCTCTGAAGTTCTGTGACTCTCCCTCCTTCCACCATGCTTTGTGCTTCTTTCCAGCACTGATCTGGGTTTTGTCTTTTGGCCCCAGTAGGCTGGCAGTACCGTGAAAAAAAAAAGAGAGAGAGAGAGAAAGCTGGAGCGGTGTCTCCCATTGCCACTATTCCACAGCACCTAACACGGTAGAAACTCAAACACTTCTTGAATGGATGCATGAACAAATATTGAAAAGGCCTGCTGTCGTGCCATTTAGCATTGGCGTAGGGTCCCCTACACCCTGCTGGTTGTATGCATGTCCTGTCCCATGTTAACCATAAGGCTGAGCCATTCCTGAAGCCCAGACAGCATTCTGGGTTTGTTTCCTGTGTGCCCACAAAGTCTATCACAATGCTAGTCACAAGGGACGCCATTCCCAGGCTGGCACAGCCCCACCCAGCCCATGGTAAAGCTCTTGGGACCCTGGCTGCCTGAATATCTGTTTCACCTCTCAGCTGTGAACTCCCAAGGGCAGGGATGTGTTTCCTTCATTTGCTACACCAGGATCTCTGTCCCCACGCTGACCTGCACATATCCCTCGATCCTGGCCTGGGCCCACAGGTTTGTCTGCGGGACAGCACTGTTGAACCTTTGTGATTGTCCTCAGGGTGATAGCATCACCCCACACTGTGGATGAGGAAACTGTCAGCTCCACTGACAAGGCCCCAGAGCAATAATGCTGAATTAATTCCAGGCCTTCTGACCCCAAAGCCCATGTTTCCTGTGCCCCATCCCCTGCAGGCCACTGCCTTGTAGGGCCCTGTCTGCCCCACCAGTGCCATCAGGAACTGGCCCTAGGTTCAAAACCCAGGCTATGCCACTCTCCAGCTAAGGGACCATATGCAAGTTATTAAACTCTAGTGCCTGTTTCCTCACCTATAAAATAGGATGATGATAACAGCACCCTCCTCATGAGTGGCTGTAAAGATTAAACATATACAGCAATATATTAAGTGCTCAGAGCAGTGCCTGGCTCAGTAGGCGTCACTTGTGATAGAACACAAGGGAACCGTTTATGGGGCTCTAGGCGAAGCCCTACAAACCAGATTCACATTTGGGAAGATGCCATTGCTTTTGATAGTCCTGACAACCTGCGCCATGGGAACACTTACCACCCCCATTGAACGGACGGAGGCACTAAGGCCCAGAAAAGTTAAGTCCATTGCTCCAAACCATACAGCCCGCTGAGGCAGGGCCTGGCCTGTTGGCCCACCAAGTGTGCCTCCTCTTCACTTCCCCCACTCCTCACAGCCCGGATCTGATACCTGGGGCCCGCCTCCTTCCACATCCTGCTGCTCAGGGACAGAGGAACTTTAGCGCCCCTGAGGTCCACACCTGATGGGCATTTGTCCCGAAGAACCCCCACCCGTGGCCTTTGACCTTCCTGGAATGACTTCCGAAGGTGGTTGGCCCTGTCCCCTCCCCCAAGGGCAGGCCTCTGGCGTCCCTCCCAGTCCTCCAACTCTCCTCCTGCTCACAGGAGACCTTATCGACCAGAGGTCAAACCAATCTCCTTGCCCCGGGTCCCCGAGGGGGGCTGCCCTGCCCCAGAAGCCGGCCTCCCATTAATGATTTTCTCCCTGGTCCACTGGACAGAGGCAGCGTGGGTGACCCAGGGTCAGCAGCGGCTATCGGGTGGCACTTCCCCAGTATGCGGGAGGGAACAATCCATCTTGCCCAGCTTCCACCATTGAAGCCCCACCCTGTGGCCAGATCAACCCCCAGGGAGGCAGCGGGGGTGGCCTCTGACTCGGAAACAGGGTCCGTTCTCCTGGAAAGGCTGGAAGCACCCGGGGCTTCCCAGGCAAGACATCTGGAGGGTGTGACACCCCCACCTGAAGCCTTTCCTAGCCCCACCTCCCAGGCTGGGTGAGAGCCCCTGAACACTCTACGGCAATGGCTTATTGTCCCAAGTCCAGTGTGACTGGTTCATCCCTGAATCTCAGCTCTGCCCTCAGAAGGCAACCAGCAAACACACGCCAAAAGGCTGTGGCCAAAAGCGAGGGAAACCTGGAGGTCAACATCAGCCCTCCCACTCACCACCCAGAGTGCCCCACAGAGGGATGTGTTAAAGCAACAGCATTCCTCTGCTCCAGACACTCTGCTAAGAAGATCCGTAGGCCGGGCACAGTGGCTCAGCACTTTGGGAGGCTGAGGTGAGTGGATCTCTTGATGCCAGGACTTCAAGACCAGCCTGGCCAACATAGTGAAACCCTGTCTCTACTGAAAATACAAAAATTAGTGGGGCTTGGTGGTGCACGCCTTTAATCCCAGCTACTGAGGAGGCTGAGGCCACAGAATCACTTGAACCCAGGAGGCAAAGGTTGCTGTGAGCCAAGATCGCACCACTGCACTCTAGCCTGGGCGACAGAGTGAGAATCTGTCTTAAAATAAATAAATAAATAAACAAACAAACAAACAAGAAGAACTTTAAAAAGAAGACGACGACGACCCTTAGACACAGCACCTCAGTGACCCATGGAGGTGAGCACCAGTTAAAGCCCATGTCAAGGTCTGCCGCTAGAGCACATGCATAGTGGGGCTGCCTTGGACATATCCACTTCTGTCCTGCTAGCTGGGTGGCAGGTCACTTGGCTGAGTGCCCTTCAAGGCGGCTCTGTCTTCAAGATCTTCCCAGAGTAGTGTTGCTGTCTGCCTGGCTAACACCCCTCCAGGCACACAATGATCAGGAGTGTTGAAAAGCTGCGGTGTGAAAAAAATCAAATTGCTGCAACTTTTTTTTGAGACTGAGTCTCATTCTGTCACCCAGGCTGGAGTGCAGTGGTGCAATCTCGGCTCACTGCAACCTCCGCCTCCCGGGTTCAAGCAATTCTCCTACCTCAGCCTCCCTGAGTACTGGGATTTACAGGCGCGCCACCACACCCAGCTAATTTTTGTATTTTTAGTAGAGACAGGGTTTTACTATGTTAGCCAAGCTGGTCTTGAGCTCCTGACCTCAGGCGATCCACCTGACTTGGCCTTCCAAAATGCTGGAATTACACGTATGAGCCACCGTGTCCGGCCTGCTGCAACTCTTGAAAGGAAGTCTTCTACAGAGGCAAGGTGCCTTTGTCACTCCACCTTGCCCACCGCGCCATACATATGGATTATCTTTTGGGTGGATGCAGCCTTTCTCATAGCATGGTAGCCTAGAGTCCCCTGCAGCCTAAGATCCCAACTGTCCCCAGCCCCTGCTTCCCCTGCCTTGAGGGCTTCAGCTCTGGTAGAAATGTTCACTCTTCCAATGCAGCACTTGCTGCACAGAGGCAACGAGGCCCCAAGAGGCTCAAATCCCTACCCAAGCCTGCCAAGGTCCCCAGGCCCTGGGGACAATCACGGGGCTCAGTGGCACAGAGCCCACCCACCTTCTACCTTCGGTCCCATTCTCACCCGGTACAGTTCTTCACACACAAGGTGATGCCATGGCCCTGCACAGGCTCCCCATTACCCAGGACAACAGCCAAGTGTCATGCTTACAATCGAACCCCCCATCTACCTTCCAAGCCTCCTCTCTTAGGCACCTTGGTAAGAACCTTCCACAGGGAGAAAAGAGGTTGAGGTGAGCCTCCAGCCTAGTGCCAGCTTCTGGAGATCAACCAAGGTACCACTTCACACGAGGGCATCCGATAGCGATGGCCTCCATCACTCCCTCTGGCCGGAAGATTTTGGCCTCTCCAGCCCACTCATGGCTGAAAAGCATGTTTGGGATCCTTCTCTTTCTTCCTGGGCCCCATTGCTACCTCCCACAAATGTGCATGACATCACACATCACCTATGTACACACACCACACATGCAACATTAACACAGTAACCAGCACTGACTGACCTTAGCTGTCCCCTGGCTTCAGCTCCAGTCAACCAACTTACTTGACTCCTTCAGCTCTCAGTTTTCCCATCAGCAAAATGGGGACAGTTTATCATATTTATCGCAGAAAAAGATTCTATTAGTACAAATAATTACTCATTTTCCTTTTTTTTTTTTTTTTGAGACGAACTCTTGCTCTGTCACCCAGGCTGGAGTGCAGTGGAGTGGTCCTGTTTCATTGCAACCTCCACCTCCCAGGTTTAAGCGATTCTCCTGCCTCAGCCTCCCGAGTAGCTGGGATCACACACGCATGCCACCACGTCCAGCTAATTTTTTGTATTTTTAGTAAAGATGGGGTTTCACCATGTTGGCCAGGCTGGTGACCTCGTGACCTCGTGATCCACCCACCTCAGCCTCCCAAAGTGCTGAGATTACAGGCGTGAGCCACCGCGCCCAGCCACTTGCTTTTCTTTACTTTTGTAAAGTGTTGAGCACTTCCTCTGTGCTAAGAATCTCGAGATGTCTCCCTCCCTAATGACGAGAACAATCCTATGAGTTGGTATGATTATTATCCCCATTTTACAGAGAGGGAAACTGAGGCTCACAGAAGTTCTATCACTTGTTATATGACACAGATTTGGTAAGAAATCAAGATTCAAATCCAGCCCAGTTTCTCTCCTGCTTCGCCCTCGCCTGCAATTGTTCTCCCTCCAGTTCCTCACCCACCATTCTACTTTTCCAGGACGACAACTGGTTCAGGCCACAGGCCACCGTTTGGGGGTAAGGAGGTTGGAATATTGTCCACAAAAGAGCTGGGGGCTTTGAGCTTTCTGCCTCCACCCAAGAGAGAAGGATGGGGTCCCATGGACCTTCCCGCCCAGTGCCCATTCTCTGATCCTTGAGGCTTCATGCAACCCATGCCCCTGTCTTCAGGAAACTTGCCCAGAAAGGGAGGGGCTCCCTGGTCCCAGAAGGGGCAGCTTCCAGACTTCCGGCCACCTTCCACACCACTGCCTCCTCCTGCAGCAGCAGCAACGGGCCAGCGAGGTTTTCAGAGCGTCACTAAACCCTGGGACCTTCATCCTCTCCAGCCGGGGTTCTGGTAAAGTCAGCCCCTCTCTCCACCTGAAAACGCAGCTCTGCTAACTTCCTGGACTCTGGCCTGGGGGCGCTCTCTGGATTATTGTCACAGAGAGTGAAGCTTACGTTGGCTCCCACTGGCTGGGCACTTGCCCCCGTGCCAGGCCCCATGTCCACTCCTCACACAGCCTGAGCAGCTGAAACTATTACTATGCCCGGGTTCCAAGTGACAAAGGAAGACACAAAGAGGTCACGGGACTGGCCCAAATTGAACAGAAACTGACTGAGCTGTGATCTGAACTCATCTCTGGCTCTGAAGCCCATGAGTTTCCCATGGACAGAAAGGGTAGGAAGAAGGCTGGTCCCACCCTGAATCTGAATGTGGCTCCCATGGGTGCCCCCGCCTCCTCAACCCCGGGCTTCTGGCCTCCTTCCTGTCACATTCCCCACACCAACTCAGCCAGGACAGACAGTGACTCCGCAAAGGGCCCTTCCCCACCCCCAAGCCTGTCCATTAAGCTCCCAGGGCTATCAATGTATTGATTGGCAGGGCTGAGCCATCAGCAGGGAAGGGGGGCACTGCAGGATGGGGGCTGGGCCCGAGGGTCGGCCTCCCTCTCCCCATACATCAGCCTTCGTGGTACAGATCGTCAATACGGGCGCCACTGCTGCAGGCAGCCAACCCTGGAGCGGTAAAGACCCATGCCCTGTTCTCTTGCTCCCTTTCCTCTTCCCGCCGATCCCTGCTTCAATTCTAGCTCCCTAAAGGCCCTGGGTAGGGAGAGTATCCATCCATGCCCAAGAGATAACTAACAAGCCCTTTATTCCAGCATTCAAAGCCCACCACAGCCTTTTCCATCACCCCCATTCCTGGGAATGGATGCGCCAGCCACCCCAGTTGGCTTGGAGCTCCATGAGTCCACCAGGCTGATCCCTGCTTCCAGGTAACACCATTCCGTGTGCCCACAAGGCTTTTCCGCATAGGCGTATACACATATGCACGCACGCAGAGGTTCACAGTGTCCTCTTCACCTGGATTGCTCTTATTTCAAGGTCCACATGGACCCTCATCCTAGGCCAGACCCTCTTGCCCCAGAGTCTGGTTCTGGGCCAAGAGTATCCACCTACCCTTGAGTTCTTGCTCCTCCGCACATATCCCCAGTTTCTCTCAAGTCCCCAAGGGCTGGGGCAGGTGCTGGTCCTTGCTGTGTCCCAGCCCCTGGCACAGAGGAGTGGTTGGGGGAACTCAGTCCGGGTCCCGCCCCCCAGGAGAACCTCTCCCCCAAGCCTCTACTCACTGAGCCAAATTTCCTCCAGCATGCCAGGTCTGTGCCAGGTGCCATGGTGCCCGCAGCAGGGGTCAGACCTCCCTTTGACTTCCAGGAACCCATGGGCTGGCGGACAAGCCAGGCTTGAGGCACTCCAGAGTTGAATGCAGAAGCACAGCTCACATTTACTTAACACTTATCATGAGCCAAGCGCTGTGCCAATTGCTTCCCTCGGGTAGGGGGAACTCACCCTTCCGGCAACACCAGGAGGGAGGTTTCTGTCCTGATGCCTACAGGAATGATAAGCCACAGAGAGGCCAGTCAATCACTCAATCACACAGCCACCTGAAGCAGTGCTGGGCCCAGAACCCATCTATCCCTGTGAGCCCCGCAGAGAGTCCCCTGGATCAAAGGCAGTGGCCAAGTGCTATGTGATTCCAAGGCAGAAGGTGGGATGGGTATCAGGGGAAGCAGAGCTGTCCAAAGTGCATGCCACCTCTTCATGGAGAACACATGGAAGGAAAAGCCTTGGATACCTTCTTCATTTCCCTCAAAACCAGTCCAGGGCCAGGTATGCGGCAAGTGTCCCAGAAATGTTTGTGGATTGTTGATGTGGATTGTGGATTGTTTGTGGATTGTTGATGAGGAGCAACACTTATCTTTAAGTGCCTACTGCATATCTGGTCATCAATTACTTTTACCAACAAGCCAGGGGAGTGGAATTATTATTCTTATTTTGCGCATGATGAAGAAGTGGAGACTCAGAGAGGTTAAGGGCCTTGCCCAAGGCCACACAGTCTTGAGTGACAGAATGGCAATTAAATCCAGACCTAAGTCTGAAGCCTGTGTTCCCAACTCAGAGTGGAGGAGGCCTGATGTCACTGATCCAAGGAACACATCCCTTCTAGCTTTCTCCATCACCCACAGCATGTTATGTACCTAACACAGACAATATAAGTGATTGAACAACTACTATCACTCCATTATTCATCGAGTGTTTTGCCGT